ATGTATGCACATTAATGTGTGTACAACGTAACAGCGCATAAATTGTACATTGGGGACGAGCCCCCTCTCTGAGCACGGGACGGGGCATGGATACGAGGCACGAAATGAATGTGATTGTGAACGTGAACGTGAACGTGAATGTACGTACTTGTCGTTTATCTGACAGCCTGAATTAATTCAATAAAATCCGAATCCGAAACATTTTATAAGCAATTAATTAAGATATTAGAAGGGACAAGACTCAGGGCTGTTGTTCAAATCTTAAGTGGTGCCTTCAAAATTAATTGATTGAAAACTATTGTTGCAATTTTTGGCAAGCAACAAAAGACCTATTAAATTGAATGCATTTTTCTTATTCTCAATTGAAATGCATATGCATTATTCATCAAGTGTCGTGTCGAGTTGAGTTTGCATTGAGTTAGAACAACGTTAAACGATGAAGATTTCCTCTTATTAAATTCACTTTTCTTGATAAAATTCCACTTAAAGAATGTTCCCTTAACAACTATCACCTTTCTGTGTACCGGAATTTATATAAATGCATATACATAATTCATTACTACATTTTTTCAAGAACAACTTTATAATGGCTAATAATACTTAGCAAAATTGGAGTTTGTTTTGCCCTATAAACCTGTTAAATAATTAAAAACCTGTGCAGCTACCTAATTACTCTGATGTTTGTGATAACTTTTTTAGTATCCAAGTTTTGCACCTTTTAAAGTGAATAAATGTATATTTTTGATATTTAACAATTACAGAGACCTTTTTTGAATTATTTATTAGCGAAAGTGTGTCACCAGAATATATATATATATATATATATATATATCCAGGACGTTATGCATTCGCTCGACTTTATTACTTTTGACTATGCCAAAAAATATAATTCACAAAGAGGAGAACATCGTTTGCATAATTGCTTTTTAATTACCATACAAACGCGCACATTTTCATATCTCTCTTTGGGTATATATATATATATATATATAATTAATTATCTTTCGAGAGTGAGCAAAGAAAGTAATTTATCTGATTAAAAAACCTTACTTGCTTTATATATGTTAAGAAATATATAACTGACAGCTCGAAAACAACACGTTCGTCAAGGAATGTGTGTCGAACATTTAGATATTTGTTGTTGCTGTGGGTGTGTGTGTTGTGCGATCGTGTAAACGCAAAAATATGCGCAAAGCCATAAAAACCTAACAATGAGCAATATATATATATATATATATATATGAAAATTAGACGTGTAGGCAGTAGGCAGTGATAAAAATGCTCACAAACTTGTTTAATAATTAAAAGTCAGCACACAAAACTCACTCACTCGCTGACAGAGCTGCATAAGAATATGAATTTGCATATAGCAAACAGATATATATATAAATATATATATATTGAAAATTACTTGACTTGTGCGCGGGGAACCCCTCTTAAAAGTTCTAAAAAAGATAGCTCTACAGTTATAGCCAGAAACCTATTCTACATTGTTAGAAAATTACTTGAGCTACATATATCTTTAAGGTCAGCAGCACATAGTTCCTAGAAGCCATTAAATGATCATCTCCTTTGTAATTACCTTCGAATATTAACGGTTACGTTTTAATGCGCTTTTGTCCAAATGAGCTGGGCAACCATGAAATGTGAGTCGTTAAAATTACATTGTAGAATAGTAATTGATTTTTGTGCAACAAAAAAATCAAGGGGGAAACACACACAACGTATTTCTATAGAGGTTAAAAGTCCTGCCGGCAGTTAAAAATAGCTTCGAGTATTTTCAAGTATTTAGTTTCAACAAAAAATCGGTTAACTAAACTAATAAAAACAAGAAAATAAGGTAATTTTGTGAACCAGGAATTTCCTTACCGTTTGCAGTGAAAATTCATCATAACTAAGGCAAAAATGCATTAATTTTCAAGCAGATAACTTTCCTATGCTAGTTTTTATTAGGTTAACAAAACTGCATATTACATTAAAAATTTTAAAATTTGAAATTTTTTCTTGAAAATTTTACCCCTTAAATTTTTTGAAAATTAAAAAAAATTAATTTTAGACATACATAGCTAGATCGATTCGGCTGTTAATGCTGATCAAGAATATATATGATTTATGGGGTCGGAAATGATTCCTTCACTGCGTTTTGAGCTTTTGACTATAGTGCAAACTATTATTATTTGGCTTTGAACTTGGTAAACACACAAGTTTCAATAGATTTTTTCCTGGAATCAAATGCAATTGCAGTCTATCTCTATCTCTTTTGTTATTACGTCACTCCTTTGCTTGTTCAATTTGCGGAAGACAGCTGACTTTAATTTACTGCTATGTGTAAACCAACGGGGCGGATGGGTAATGTGGTTGGAAGGTATTCTGCAGGACGCATGTGTTTTTGGCCCCAATCTGGATTTAGTTTTGTGTTGCTTTTTTTCTGTTTCACCCTGCAGTTGTCAGTCAATAGCAGTTACAGTAGTAACCATGTCTGTCCTCCTGTCCGCCAGTTTGTCCGCCTGTCCGTCAGTTTATCCCCCTGTCCGTTTGTCTACCCTTCAGTCAGGCATTGCAGTGGCAGTCTGTTTGTGCAATCGCTGCGGTGGATTGTTAGCGCTATATTTATTTAGACGGCGTTGATTATTTTTCTAATTTATCTGCACATATTTGCATTTGCAAAGGAAATGACAGTTCTACCACCACCAACAATGTGTGTGTGTGTGTGCAATTAATCAAACAAAACAGAAACTGAAACTATGCCAAAATTGCAAAACAAAGTCTGTGATGAAGCACAAAGTTTGCTGTCAATCAAAGTTCAAATTAACTGAAATGAAACACTCTTCGAATGACTTTTGTCACTCAGTATTGCGTGTGTGGCAGGGTTCAAAAGCAAATAATATTATAAAATTGTACAATTTCGATTTAACTATCATATGCTAGGGGTCAACTATGTCCTTGTGTTGTATGTGTTTATTTGATTTCGTCACTGTCTGAACGCTTGGCATTTGATAAAGCCAGGTTAATGTTTATTTAAATGCCGATTTGATTGCCATAATAGTTGATAGTTGGTAGGTTGGTTGGTATGTAGACGGAACACTCGTAATTCTAATTACAACTCGTCAATGAGTTGTTTTTATTATTTTTCTAACAATATAACGACTTGGTTTATATACTTAGTACTCTTGTTTATGAATTAAAACAAATATTCGTGGTGCAATTAAATGTTGATTATTGCCGTCCTGTGTGTCGTGTTTATATATATATTTTTAATGCAATTTGACTATTTTCTGTTGGCATTGCTGAATAATTTGCGCTATTTGTCTGTTCAGGCTCATTAAATGCTGCAAACACTAGCAGACAACCTTATTGTAAGTTTATATGAGAATATTACTATTTATTTTAAATAATATATAAAAGCAATAAAGAAAGGAAGCTAACTTCGGCATGCCGAAATTTGTATACCCTTGTAGGTTGAAATTCAATCACTAGGAATTAATACAATATAAATTACATATATATTTATTTAAAAAAACAATAAAGTAATGCCTGCTATCACTTCATCGTTTTGCATTTTCCTCAATTTTCAACGATCGTCTGTATGGTAGCTATATGATATAGTAGTCCGATTTTCATAAAATTTTACACAAAATTAATACATTATGGGTATGTAATAAATTTGATGAAAATCTCTTGTTAATTACTGGTCATTGATACTTAGTGATCAAAGTTAATTACTGGTCATAATTACTTAATACTTATAGTTATTTACTGATCCTAGTTTATTATTGATCATGGTTATTTACTGATCATAATTACTTACTGTTCATTGTTACTTGTTGTTGGAAGATACTTACTGAAGTGTAGCCTTTTTTTTTTTTTTTTTTTTTTTGTATATCCTAGTTCCGATTCGCATCCTCCCTTTGATATTTATTGTTAGTTTTATATGATCATTTTTGTGAGCAAATCAAAATTACAAATATTCATAACTAGGCCAAAAATTGATTAATTTTAATTCGGAAAGAGTTCCTATGCTAATTTTTATACGGTTAATAAATCTCCATACTCAATTTAAAATTAAAAAAAAAAAAAAAAAATGGATAAATTTTTAATAATTTAACCCCTTATAAAATTTTGAAAAAATTCGTAAACTTTTATTTTCGTCTGGAGATGGCTGGATCGACTCGCCTGTTCATGCTGATCAAGAATATATATGATTTATAGGGTCGGAAATGACTCCTTCACTGCGTTTCAAGCTTTTGACTTAAATTTGAATACCCTAAAATTTACTTAATATTTTTCTTTATTAATTTTTAATCGAATCCTTCGAGATTTGGCAATACCTTCTTTTATTTATATATATTTTTACCTGTTATATATTTTTTATGACATCATATTTATATATTATTATATATAATATATATTATATATTTTTATACATCAATCCCAAAAAAAACGTTTCTACTTTGCTTTAATTATTTTCGTTAATCGAAATGAAAGTAAGGGACAAGCTTTCCTCAGATTACAAATTAGATTCGAATTATTTATAGTAATGCCCGATGAGCTTTTCAGATTACGAATTGTTTGTGGTTTTGAGCAATGCCATTTTCACCGCAATCGTGCAAATATATCACATGCCCATATGCCTGTGCCTGTGCCTGTGCATTTCTGATTCACATGCCGCATTGTGATGAAAGGAGAGAGTTACGTGTGCACGCCGGGATTGGGGGGAGAATGCGGGACTGGGGAATTGGCCACTGGTATATGCATAGAGGGAGACAAGGATTAGTATACGTGGTGGCACTGGGCAGGGCATTTATTATTAATAACAGGCCGTGTAATGTACGGCTAACATGAATATAAATACAAATGCTAATGCTACCTCACCATTTTCCGTTTTGCAGAAACTGAACATAAAGCAGCAGCTCGCCGCAATAAGGAGGTAGAAGCAAGATCAGAGCCAGGACAAGTAAGAGCACAAACTCACTCAAGTGCATAAGAAGCTGTAGCAGAAGCTGGCTCGTCGGCGGTGGCATTGATACCAGGTGGTGATCAGGCATCAGGCGTAACCAGCGTGTCCCAAAAGGAGTCCAGCCGACACCAGCACTCAGCAGTCGAGAGAGGAGACGCAGACGGCGCAGTTGGAGTGTCGGGCCACAACATGTCTTCGCCGGCGGCGCAGAGCAACAGCAGCAGCCAGTCGCAGTCAGCCGCCCAGCAGCAGCAGCAGAATCAAAAGGCCAACGCAAATAACACACACGACAACAAGAATGCCTCGGCGACGACGGGGACAGCAGCGGCAGCAGCAGCAGGATCTGCTGGTGCAGGATCCGGTGGTGGATCCACCACAGCTGCCGGCACACAACAGCAGGGGGCAACCTCAAGTGGGCCCCAGAGCCCGACCAAGCGCAGCACAATATCGACAAAGGAGCGTGTGATCGACAGCGTGCCGTTCCCGCCGAGCCGCAAACTTACCTGCGCCGATGTTTTTGATGCGAGGACCGGTAAGCCGCACCATGACATCCTCAAACAGCACTTCATCCTGGAGGGCCGGATTGAGGAGAGTGCCGCGTTGCGCATCATTCAGGAGGGTGCCACACTGCTGCGCCAGGAGAAGACAATGATCGATATTGAGGCGCCAGTGACGGTCTGCGGTGATATTCACGGCCAGTTCTATGATCTAATGAAGCTTTTTGAAATTGGCGGCTCGCCGGCGACCACCAAGTATCTGTTCCTGGGCGACTATGTCGACCGGGGCTACTTCAGCATCGAGTGTGTGCTGTACCTGTGGTCGCTGAAGATCACCTATCCGCAGACGCTGTTCCTGCTGCGCGGCAACCACGAGTGTCGGCATCTGACCGAGTACTTCACCTTCAAGCAGGAGTGCAAGATCAAGTACTCGGAGCGCGTGTACGACGCGTGCATGGACGCGTTCGACTGCCTGCCGCTGGCGGCGCTGATGAACCAGCAGTTCCTGTGCGTGCACGGCGGCCTGTCGCCCGAGATACACGAACTGGAGGACATACGGCGGCTCGACCGCTTCAAGGAGCCGCCCGCCTTCGGCCCCATGTGCGACCTGCTGTGGTCCGACCCGCTGGAGGACTTCGGTAACGAGAAGAACTCGGACTTCTACACGCACAACTCGGTGCGCGGCTGCTCGTACTTCTACAGCTACGCCGCCTGCTGCGACTTCCTGCAGAACAACAACCTGCTGTCGATCATCCGGGCGCACGAGGCGCAGGACGCCGGCTATCGTATGTACCGCAAGAGCCAGACCACCGGCTTCCCCTCGCTGATCACCATCTTCTCGGCGCCCAACTATCTCGACGTGTACAACAACAAGGCGGCGGTGCTGAAGTACGAGAACAATGTGATGAACATCCGGCAGTTCAACTGCTCGCCGCACCCCTACTGGCTTCCCAACTTCATGGACGTGTTCACCTGGTCGCTGCCCTTCGTGGGCGAGAAGGTCACCGAGATGCTGGTGAACGTGCTGAACATCTGCTCCGACGACGAGCTCATGACCGAGGAGAGCGAGGAGCCGCTCTCGGACGATGAGGCAGCGCTGCGCAAGGAGGTTATCCGCAACAAGATCCGTGCCATCGGCAAGATGGCTCGCGTCTTCTCCGTGCTGCGCGAGGAGTCCGAGTCGGTGCTGCAGCTGAAGGGCCTGACGCCGACGGGTGCCCTGCCACTCGGCGCCCTCTCCGGCGGCAAGCAGTCGCTCAAGAATGCCATGCAGGGCTTCTCGCCCAACCACAAGATTACCTCGTTCGCGGAGGCCAAGGGCCTGGATGCTGTCAACGAGCGGATGCCGCCGCGACGAGACGCGACGCCCTCGCCGGCGGAGGAGGGCCAGAAATCACTGTCAGCGGCGGCAGCAGCAGCGGCCAATGCAAATGCGAATTCAATCAATGGATAATTCTAAGTCAAGTCAAGTCAGTAAAGTAAATTCAAGTCGAGTTAAGTGATGGATGGGCGGCAGCAGCAGCAACAGTTGCAGTCAAGTTAGTCAGAGGATCATCGGATCGTTGAATTTGAGGATCAAAGGATCAGAGAATCGGATGAGGAGGAGCAAATTCAGTTAGTAGTCGACAGTTAAGCAGAAAACGGTGGGAGGGAGACGACGGACGGGACGGCAAACAGCTAGCGAACAGTTCAGTGCGGAAATAGTCTCAAAATAAAAAAGCTCTCGGCTCAAAGAAAACGATGAAAACACAAGACACGCAGGCAGACATATTGGTATTTAATGTAATGCAAATCCCCCAGAGATGGAAGCTAATTATAACGTTGAAAGAATAACAATATATATATAATATACATATATATGTATCAAAATTTTGTGCAACATTATATCAAAAGAGCAAATTTAAACGCGACAGCAGTTGCTCGCCAGTGGCGCGCATTCTCTCCCATTAAAAAAAATGAATGAACAACAACAAACAAAACAAATTTTTAAAACGAATCGAAAACCAACTCTCTCTCTCCCTCAACTCTAAAAAAAAAACAAACAAACAAAAACATAAAGAAAATGAAGGAAAACGAAGCAGAAGGAGAACTAAATCTAGCATCTAAACAAAAAATACTGAAACTAAAGCTAAAGGATAAATTCCACTACTTGGGGCCGTTCACATATTGCGTTATTACCGCCTCTTCTCTCCTTTTACAGCTAAACATTTGGATTATATAGTACGATCGATCGTACGGGATAAATAATGCTGTGATTGCGCAATATATGGACGGACAGGCCCCCACCCTTTCGTTGTGTGGCGTCTGCGGCGACTTCTATGGAAAAAAAATATAAAAACGTATGAAAGAAAAGCTAGAAAAAAAGAACAGAAAAACAACTTCCTACAACAACAACAAACAGCAACAGCAGCAGCAACAATATTTTAATACAATATTTTTAAAAAACAAGAACAAGAAATGACTGAATCTCTCTATCTATCTTAACTATCCGACTCTTTCTCTCTCACACATAAATACACACATACACAGTACACACACATAAGCGAGGGAATCGTTCCAACTCAAAGTTGATCGATCATCCCGTAGCCTATTGTTTATCGGTAATTGTTTATCGTCGCCATTGTCGCCTCACACTCTCTCTCATCTGGTGATTGTGTATGTGGTCTTTATATACGTGCCATCTTTGTCGTAGTCATTAGCTGAATATATTAATTAATATGTTGCGATGCAGGTGCAAAAGGAGGTGGTGTCTTAGCCTGGCCACCTTGTCCTTTTCCTTCTCCCTCCCACTAATAGAAAAAGTCGAAATTATCGAAATACTCGAATCTCAACAAGAAGGCAGCCTCCGGCCCCATTTGCGCCTGCGTCGACACTGTTTGTAAATCCTTTTTATACTTAATCGAATTTTAGTTACTTGTTAAAGTCAATAAAGTTGGGGAGAATGTAGGAAGAAGATAAAGATAATGGTAAAGATAAAGATAAAATATTAATATGAAGATGATTTAAACGGAAGTTGTAATTAAAACAGTGTGTGCAATAGGAATTTTGTTATTTCTGCAATATTTTCTTTTTATATATATTTCTTGTTATCTTTTTTATAATTTGTATTTACTGTAAACTATTTATATATATACACACACACAATCAGCAAACACACCTACACACACATAATATAAATACATAAATATATATTTATAAACTAAATTGTTGTTTCTACTTCATTATACTTATGTTTTTTATCTCGATATACAGATAAATATATATTGTATATCTATATTGTTTACTACACCTTTTTCTATAAGCATTAAGTAATTTAATTAAATAAATTTAATAAAATGAGAAAACTAAACAAAAACAAAAGCAACCCAATCGAGGTGTGCAAAAGTTTTTCTTAAACAAAAATAATTATATTCTACAATAAGATGTAAGGGAAAAATCATTAACAAGAAGAAAACCGAACTATGTGAATTACCTATTAAGTTTAAATTATACAACAAAATGATAAAATTAAACCGAAAAACGTTTACAACCAATTAACAAATTATATGTTAAAAATAAGAAAAGAAAAATTGTGCAGCATGCGAAAAAAAAAAAACTATGGAAAGAAAACCGAAACCACTTTTCAGAATTCGACAAGACGACTAACAAAGAAACAAACAAAACAAACCCAATTTAAAGTTTAAAGGAAATGTAATACAAAATGCAAACTTATAGCAATTTGAAGTACTTTATAAACAAATATACATACGTACGCATAAGAGAACGCATATATATATACATATATATATATTTGAAATAGTTAAGGATCGAAGCTGAGACGAGAAGAGACAGAGAAAAAAAGAGCGAAACCGATAACCAAATACGAAAGCGAACTCGATATACGAAAAAAAACCAAAAATGCCGGTAACCGAATTCAAAATCGAAACCAAGCAGTATGCAAAAAAGTGCAATAAATGCAGCAGCAATCAGAAATAGCTAAGCAGTAAAAGTCGATCACAAATTCGAATTAATTTGATAGGCACCCATACACAGACACACACACACAAACACGCTTTGGGCGAGCGAGAGGGATGGAAAGGAAAAGTTCGGTTAGAAAGTAGTTCCAGGATATATGCAAGCAGTGCAAGCCGCATCCGGCCTTAGCAAGCAGTTGTATTAATTGGCATAACAGTGCACGCAGGCGCAATGGGCCTGATCGCTGCGTTTGACCTTTAACTTTTTCGCTCCCGCTTTTTCCTTGCGTGTTTTTTGCCTTTTGCGCAGGTCGAGATCGGAATATCCAGATCTCCAGCAGCAGCTAACGTACATACATACATATGTCATCAAGCAGTTAATGGTTAAAGATGATTTACATTTATATATATATATTTACATATATATACGTATACAATATAAACCGATATAAGGATTAAGCGTTTCACACTGTCAACACACGCAGCAGCAGCAGCAGACACACAGAACAATTTACAAAACGTTTACGCATTTCGATTCAATGAAAAACCAAGAGAATACGAATAATACCAAATATTTATATAAACCATAATTACAACCAATAAAGGATTAACATCAACCAAGCTCTATTGCTATTATTTTTAAAGTAAATCAATGAAGTTTTAACAAAGAAATTACCGCAACCCATATATGTATAGCATATAATTGAATATTTTTCTCCTCAAAACGTTCCCGCAATACAAAGAAAAACAAAACAAAAAATATATATAAAAAAACTACAAAAATTAGCGCGCTCTTCTAAAATAAAAAGAAAAAAGCAAATGCGAAATTAAATTAATATACACATATAAAGAAACAGAAAGAAGGAATAAGAAAACCAAACAAACCAAAAGTATAACATATTACGACTAAGCGAATAATATTTGAAATAAATACTTTTATACTATATACACGACGCCTAAAAACAAATGCAAGACAAAATTATGATAACGGCATACCGTCTCGCTCTCGCTCTAGCCCCATATACTTCTTCTGCCCTTCACTCTCCAGTCTCCACACTTTACACTCCATTTGCCTATCGTCGTGTTCTTTGCTTTTTGCACTCCTTAACGCAAAAGCTCTCCTCGACTTCAACTTCGACCTTGACCCTTTCTCTCTCGCTCTCGTTCTGTACATCTATCTCTCTCTTTCTCTGTCTTTTCAATGACCTACAACCCAGAAAAAATGCGGAAACAAAAAAAAATAAATAAATAAAATAAAATAAACACTTTTTAACGGTACATTTTCTACTACACCAAAAAATATGAATATGAAGAATACGACAAGCTAAGAAAACGAGAACAAAAAGAAAAAATAAAGTAAGAACGAAATTAACAATTACAGTAAATAAAAAACAAACACTCCTTTTAACGAAAATAATATCAAAAAAACAAATCTTTCTATAAATTTAGATATACGACGATATATAATGAAGAAGAATCCACTCTCATTTTCAAGAAGAAAAAAGAAAGCGCATTGAACATTTACATTTTACATAATACATTATATATATATTTAATATTTTAAATTAACAATAAGACTCAGACTTGGTTTCGTTTCGTTTTGGAGACTTTCGTTGTCGTCGATCAGCTTTGACTACACTCTGTACAATCAAATACTTAAATCGTCTTAAGTAAGCCATTTTGTTAGCCAATTGTTTCCTCTCTTTTAAGACACCTATTAAATTTTATGAAAATAATAAAAAATTATAACAAAATGGGAAGAATTCTGCTTTTCGTTTTCACTCATCTCAGTCATTGTAAGTGAAATACCTTTTCATCGTATGTACGAGTATGTATGTAATTATATACGTTACCTTAATTTTTTGATACATGTATTTTTCAACATCTACTTCCTGCCCTCGAATGCTTTAAAACTTTACACAAAAAAAAAAAACAATTTACTATATATTATAAACAAAAACAAAGAAAAAATTAAAAACAAAAGGGACAAAGAAACCAAAAACAAAACCAAAAGAAGAAAGAAATACAAGAAAAACAAAACAAAAAAGAATTAAAACTTTACCTTTTGGATAAATCAATTTAAATGCATATTTTATATATATTTAAACATTTATTTATATATAACATGTATGATACATATATAAGTTGGAAAAACTTTGTCAAAGCAAAAAGTTTATATACTTATATTAAAAACAAAAAATGAAAGTAAATAATATTAAAAATGCAACATAACATGAATTAAACAAAACAAGAAAACATCACATCTAGATAAATCTCTTAAAAATTTTCAATTTTATTATTAAAACCGAAACCAAAACCAAACAAGTTAATGAATAAACAAATTTAACAGTGAAAGCATTATTATATACATATACATATATATGTATGTATGTGAAAGAAATTTATAATGGTATTGCATGGGGCAGCTGGCTGGCAAAAATTACATAATAATTGCGCCGTTGTGACAAAAAAAATTATTGTATGCAATCCAAGAAATAACAAAAAATTAATTTACAAAATAAAGGAGAAGACGACGATGATTATGAATGAATAGATGGGAAGTGAAGTAAAGAGAAGGCAACAACAAAATGCAGACAACAAGTTTTAACATTAAGTGAAAGCGAAAAACAAAAACAACCAAACAAAACCAAATGATTATCAATGTTATTAACATAATTAATATTAACAAAATGAGAAAAAAAACAAAACAACCAAAAAACAATACAAAAACATTAAAAAAATATACAAGTACCTATCCTGAGAATAAAATGCGCGCACATTTATTATTTCCTCTAAAACGTTTCGTTTGAGTCTTCTGTGAAAGTTCATATTCCAGCCTTCAAGGAGAACATATAAAACTTAATCCTGCTGGATTAATATGGTGAAAAAATTCAGGATAAGTCTCTGCAGCTTAAATTTTCTTGTAAATACTACGCTTATCCATTCTTGTGCTCAAACTGATTGGGATATTCTGCAAAACTTTTAGTTTGGAAAACTCATATGTAGCCCATTATATTTAACGTAAGTATTCCATTTAAATCAATTAAATCCACATTTGTATAGAAATGCCAAAATACATATATACAAACACATTCCTGCAGACAGGGCCAATGTCTCGATGTCGATGTCACCCCCTGCAATTATGCGGTTAACTTTAGGATAATTTTTCTAGGGCAAAATTATTTTCAACTGTGACAGGATATTGGGAAGGAAACAGGTGCAAAGTTAAATTGCATGTTGCATTTTCCACAAGTTAAAAATAGCAAAAGTTTGCATATAAAGCTAAAGTTTCTCTTTCAACAGTTTAATTTCAAACTGAGCCCCTTCGGGTAGGCAGAAAATGCCAAGTATTATTATCTATTCATTCGTTGAAGCCCCGTGTGGTTTTTTGTATGAATTATGCAGATAAAACCGTTTCTAATTTGCATTTTTTGAACCACCTGTTTTATTCAAACCTGTTCGCCAGTCGTGGCTTTGAAATAAACGGTCATATTGCCAAGCTTAGGAACCATTCGACCTGAACTGGTTCCTCCTAGCGAGGAACACAAAAGAAGCTACCACTTAATTTGTATGAGGACTAGAAATTAATTTTAATAATATACAGTACTATTATTAATTTTAAATATGTCTACGACTTTTTTTTCAATCAATTTTGTTGATTGAGAAGATAAAAGGACATCGGTTCAACGGACAAAATCCTGGCAGTATATTTTCAGTATAACAGCGGTATGAAAAAGCTATCTTTCGGTATATTTTCCAGGGCCTGCGGTATATTTTAACGGTCCACTGGCGGTCACACTGCTGAAAATTCCATTAGGAGCGAAAAAAAATCGTATTGCAAGAGAGAAATTACGACGAAAGAAAAGACGTTGGGGAAAAGCAGCGAAAACTAAGTGAATATGATTGTTGTTAAGTGAAGGCAGCAGCAGCGCAGCAGGAAAAGCGAGGGCCAGCAGGAAAAGCGAATCGCATCGCAACGAATCAAAGCTGGAAGACGATAAAGCGGCTCAGGCACCAACAACACAGCAGTAGAAGCAGAAAGCAGCAGCAGAGGAAAGTGCCAGAGTGTGGGTGTGCGCGCGTGTGTGTGTCTCCGTCTCTGTCTCTGTGCTGCGTGTGTGAGTGTGCAGTGGAAACTGAGCCAGGCGAGAGCGAGAGAAGACGAGCGCGAGAGCGAGTGGGAGCGGAAGAGGACGAGTTCCTAGTCCCGAGTTAAAGCAGGAAAACGCGGAAGACCGCCAGCCCTGACCATGTCATCGAATAACCAGAGCAGCGGCAGCCAGGCGGCAACAAGTGCCAGCGGCCAGCGGACCGCTGGCGCCACCACTGCGTCCACCGAAGCCACAGATGCCAATAACAGAGAATCCGCCGCCGTCGCCGCCAATAGCGGAGTCAGCAGCAACAACAACAACAACAGCAGCACCGCCAACGCCGTAGCAGCCGCCTCCTCCTCGCAGACTAGCAACAACTCAAGCAGTAGTCCCACGGGCAAGCTGCATGGCGGCCACACGGCGGTCAACACCAAGGAGCGCGTGGTGGACAGCGTTCCGTTTCCGCCCAGCCACAAGCTGACCCTGGCGGAGGTCTTTGACCCGCGCACCGGCAAGCCGAACCATGAACTACTGAAGCAGCACTTTGTGCTGGAGGGCAGGATCGAGGAGGCGCCAGCCCTGAAGATTATCCAGGAGGGCGCCGCCCTGCTGCGCCAAGAGAAGACAATGATCGATATTGAGGCGCCGGTGACGGTGTGCGGCGACATACATGGCCAGTTCTACGACCTGATGAAGCTGTTCGAGGTGGGTGGATCGCCGGCCAGCACCAAGTATCTGTTCCTGGGCGACTACGTCGACCGGGGCTACTTCAGCATCGAGTGTGTGCTGTACCTGTGGTCGCTGAAGATCACCTATCCGCAGACGCTGTTCCTGCTGCGCGGCAACCACGAGTGTCGGCATCTGACCGAGTACTTCACCTTCAAGCAGGAGTGCAAGATCAAGTACTCGGAGCGCGTGTACGACGCGTGCATGGACGCGTTCGACTGCCTGCCGCTGGCGGCGCTGATGAACCAGCAGTTCCTGTGCGTGCACGGCGGCCTGTCGCCCGAGATACACGAACTGGAGGACATACGGCGGCTCGACCGCTTCAAGGAGCCGCCCGCCTTCGGCCCCATGTGCGACCTGCTGTGGTCCGACCCGCTGGAGGACTTCGGTAACGAGAAGAACTCGGACTTCTACACGCACAACTCGGTGCGCGGCTGCTCGTACTTCTACAGCTACGCCGCCTGCTGCGACTTCCTGCAGAACAACAACCTGCTGTCGATCATCCGGGCGCACGAGGCGCAGGACGCCGGCTATCGTATGTACCGCAAGAGCCAGACCACCGGCTTCCCCTCGCTGATCACCATCTTCTCGGCGCCCAACTATCTCGACGTGTACAACAACAAGGCGGCGGTGCTGAAGTACGAGAACAACGTGATGAACATCCGGCAGTTCAACTGCTCGCCGCACCCCTACTGGCTTCCCAACTTCATGGACGTGTTCACCTGGTCGCTGCCCTTCGTGGGCGAGAAGGTCACCGAGATGCTGGTGAACGTGCTGAACATCTGCTCCGACGACGAGCTCATGACCGAGGAGAGCGAGGAGCCGCTCTCGGACGATGAGGCAGCGCTGCGCAAGGAGGTTATCCGCAACAAGATCCGTGCCATCGGCAAGATGGCTCGCGTCTTCTCCGTGCTGCGCGAGGAGTCCGAGTCGGTGCTGCAGCTGAAGGGCCTGACGCCGACGGGTGCCCTGCCACTCGGCGCCCTCTCCGGCGGCAAGCAGTCGCTCAAGAATGCCATGCAGGGCTTCTCGCCCAACCACAAGATTACCTCGTTCGCGGAGGCCAAGGGCCTGGATGCTGTCAACGAGCGGATGCCACCGCGTCGAGACCAACCGCCTACGCCTAGCGAGGATCCGCATCATCACAGTCAACAGCAGCAGGGTGGCGGCAACAATGGTGCCGGACATGGGTAAGCAGGCTCAGCGGCTGCAGGACGAGAATGCGGATGCAGCGACGCGGAGTCTGGAGCGGAGGAGGAGGAGGAGTACATGGGCGTTGTGTGACTTGGCGGGAGCAGAGTGGAGCGGAGCGGAGCAACACAAGGAACACCAACAAACGGAACCTTAAATAAGCTTAATGTGGCATAGCAGCAACTTAAACAAGTACTAAAACTAAAATCTAAAAGCTAAAAACTTAAAACTTAAAGCCAATTCTAATACTAAGTACATAACATTATATATTTCGTTAGCGATTCAGCACCAGGTCCACGTCCATGTCCCACTGTCCATATCCGTGGCCGACTCCCGGGTCCACCAGCACCATTTGCTGCGCCATCCGGAGCAGGAATTTGTTTTTACGCCGGCGCGCGCACATTGGATATTAGAATTATGTGTTGCAGGCTTTGGCGCGCCGGCGCGCGTAAAAAAAGAACCTAAAACTGAAAAGAAAAATAACTGAAGAATAACTAAAAACTGAAAACCGAAAAATTCCCTTTCTCAAGAGCAGAAACAAAACCAACCAACAGTAACCCCATAACCTTAAGCTTAAGTTCTAATGTATAAACCGAAATGGGCAAAGCGTTAAAATATGTAAAACGGAAAAGGAAAGCCCACAAAAAAAGGATTATGAGAAAATATGAAGAGAGTGAAGAGAAGATGAAAATCCAGCGCTAATTTGTTTAAAACATTTCTAGCGGCGCCAAAAAGAAGCGTACATATATATACATATGATTATATAGAACGATATGTGTAATGAAGTTCGATTCGAATTGAGCGAGAGGATCGTTCGTTTGTGTAATAATAATCGTAATCGTAATCGTAATCCTTGAAAAAACAATTCTTGAAATGTGTAATCTTGCATAGAAAACAAACAAAACAATTTCGAAACAATTTGCAATATGTGCCGCAATAGTCCATAAATGTTCCTTATACGAATTAAACATTTAAAGTGAAACCAGAGTTTATTTTTTAGTTGTTATATTTTTTTTACTATTAACAAACACATTAAGCATGTGTAGAGATGTTTTATCAGTTGCTTAGCTAAAAACAAATTTAAAAAAAAAAGTTGAAGAAAACTAAATAAGAGAAAATCATAATCGTTCGAGGATCGAGTCTAGCTAAATTAATTAATTAAAGAATTCGATCGATTTCCGTAAATGCATTTTGAAAACCCCACACACACACATAAGACAACACTACAGGATAGAGATAGATAAAGGAAGAGAGAGGTTTACCATTAAAATAGCAAATCCAATCTTTAACTAATAAATTACCATATATGTACTACCTTATATAAAAAACTTATATAATATATTCCTCCTGCGTGTAAATTGAAACTAAAGCGATTAATTCATTTATCAAAACGAAAATGAATGAAACAATTTTTGTTGAGAGAGAGATAGAAAGGAACACACATACACACACAAGTATAAGTAACGGTAGCAAAAGCTAGACTTGAAATTATTGAAAATGAAACAAGCTTAGAAATTAATACTTAGAAGCGAAAAGAGAGATGTATTTAAGAGTAAGTATTGAAAGTAAGGCTTGGAACGAGCACGAGGGAAACACGAAGAGTTTCAGCGTTTCAGATCAATTCATATTAATGATAATGATGGCAATCAATTTCTCAATTCTAACACCAATTTCCCCCCCCCCCCCCCCCTTTGCCTGTTCCACACACACACTCACACCCACACACTATGGATCAGATTCTCCAATATCAATATGCAAAATCAAAATATATATGTATTCGACACGCATGCCTGCAAGAAATGCCTTCACCCTTCAAGAACTTGATCCTGGACCCCGAACCCGAAACCCTACACACATTTATGCTGTACTTTGCTTCGACTCTGCGAAACTTGAACTTTACTCTAAATATTTATACAGATATATATATAAATATATTATATACAAAGAGTTGACATTGGACAAAAAAAAAACAAAACAATTAGTTCTTAGTGATCTATGCACGTATCGTAACAATACCAAGATTATTTAAAAAAGTCGTAGCTAAAGGACAACAAATCAAGAAGCGGAGCGGAACTTAGCTTTTGTAAGAGTGGTAAACAATTTACTTAACTAATTCAGAAATATACATATATATATATATATATATAGCGTTTTTTTAATCAGCAAACAACCACAGGCAACTACAACAAGCATACAAAGATACATATATAATTATTGAATTATTAAATTGAACAAGCGAGAAAGAGAGTTTAAGTTTCGATGTTTCTGTTCTCTATATGGTTAAATTGTTGAAACTGTTATACCGCAAATGCATATTTAGTTAGCGCTACAGAGTGAAACACAAAATGGGGGGATACCCTCCCGAGTTAAATTTGAATTTGAAAGAACACAAAACAATAGTCAACAGAAGTCAAAAGAATATATGTATTATGTATTGTATGGGAGAGAACGAACACCAAATTACCAAAAAGCAACTCAAGCTAAAACTAACGATGATACTAAAGGAGCAATAATAAGTCTATATTATGAACTAACGATCGATCCCTTTCGCTTACAGCCCCCCCGAGCATTACCCCTTCAATAATAATGATGAATGAAAAATAACTTCCCCGACAGACACACAGATATTAATAGAGTTAGGCGAAGGTCGATGTGTAGATTTTGATAATATAATATATATATATATATATCAAGACCATACCAACTTATGGATCCATTTACAAGCATTCAAGCGTTCAACATAGAATAGATAATACCCAAAACCAAACCAAAATAAGCAGAATCAAAATGGAACGAGACGAGACAGCATGGTACATATACTTATATAAGACATTTCGCCTCTTAAAGCAATTATAAAGATAACAAAATGAGTAACGTTTATTATATTATTAAATTATACATACATATACATACTATATAAACGGAATAAAATAAATCAGAAGCAAACTTTCCATTCTATGGCGGCTTTCTTGGTTTTATTGCGAAAATGACAACTAAAGGCCTTAAACTCCCGCCAAACTGCACTTCGTGGCGGTATTGTTTCGGTTTTAAATAAGCAACAAACTATTTGCAATTATCGATAGTAAAGATGTTTTCTCATCTCTAGTTTGCGGGTTCGCTGTATCGTATATGTATCGGTGTTTCGAATATCAATACTGCTCCGATGCTTTTCAGCAGTTTCTTTTAGCGCTTCATTATTTAACCTGTTTTGAAAATCACCACCTGGTCTCACTAATTTATAAGAATTTGCGTCCGAGCGATGTTTATCGAGTGCTCTTATCGATTGTATCGATAGTGCTCATTTTCCATCCCTAATCGCTGTCGTTTTGTGTTTTTAGACCGCCGAAAAATCGAAATTATAAGTGCTAAAAGGGCCATTAACCGCGAATCATTTAACAATAACAATTCATTAGAGTGCAATTTGGGTTTGAGCGGGCCGAGCATCGGAAAAACGTAAGAGGCTAGTCGGAGAGAGGAAAACAAACGCTCCCGCCCGCGTGTCTGCTAGTGTGTGTGTGTGCATGAATGGAGCGGTTGTATTAGTGTTCGTGGAAAGTGTGTGATTAAGTGCAGCGGGCGCAGAAAAAGCGTTGGGGAGCAGTATTAAAAGAACGGCAATAGCCACCAATCGCCCCAGCAAACTCCATTCAAACACCACTCTCTTCATATTTTTTTTTTTTTTGCTTTGTATTATCAAGGAGTCGCGCCTAAAAACACTTTCCGCCGCAACCACAACACCAACACACCCACAAAGGCTACAAAGTCGCGTCATCAGTGGAAGTGGAAGCAGTGGGCGAGTAGCAGTTTCCAGCTCCAGTTCAAATCCTTTAAAACATGGACAGCAAGGGTCGCAATGTCATCGTCTGTGATAACGGCACAGGGGTAAGATACAGCACCACCACCCACCGATAAACACACACACACAGAGGCTAGCGGACAGTACACAACAACATCCACTGTGTGTGACACACATTTTTGGAGCCAAGCTCTCTTGTTGTTTGTTGCTACTGTTGCTGCGGCTGTGCTTTTTCCTATTCTTTTCTTCTTCTAGGCTAAGCAGTGCTTGCGGGCGTTGGCGGTGAGTCCCATCGCAGCAGGGGGGGGCTTCGCGAGAGCTGCTAGCAAATGCAATTATGTCTGCTTCTTCTTCCTCTGATTCCTCAGCTTTAGTCATTGTAACGACAACGATAGCGTATTACTCACCAATTCGACAGTTATGAATACTCCCACCGGCATACACACACACACACGTAGACGGGACAGTGCTATATACATATATTCAACATTAACTTCTTATCTCGAGAATTTGTTTTGCGATTACGCCGGTTTTGATAAGGGTTCGATAAACCAAAGCATTTTAACAACGTTGAAGAACTAAATACACTGAGAATTCGATCATAAACCCCAGGAACTGAAACGATTCAAGCCTTAACAGATCAGTTTTCTAACTAAAAAATTCGAATTAATTTATTAATTTATGTCCATATAAAATGTTTATGATTCTTTTTACACCTATCTCTTGAAATTTTTTTATTATTTATAAAAGGTGTATATATAAAGAATTAAATTGGGTGTGCATTCAATTTTGGTGCATTCCTGATTATTTTTTTATGTTTAATCTTAGTTTTTATATCAAAATCCATGTTTAAAGTTCTTAAAATAGGATAAACAAACAACTAATGTTGTAATTTAAACCTTTTAATATAGATATAAACACTTATTTACAATTTAAAGTCACTGAAGTTTCTCTCATCTTTAATTGCAGTTCGTCAAGTGCGGATATGCCGGCAGCAATTTCCCCACCTTCATCTTTCCATCGATGGTTGGACGGCCCATAATTCGGGCGGTAAACAAAATCGGCGACATCGAAGTCAAGGTATGATACATCGTACTTGCCAATTCAAGAGCGATCATATTATTCATCAGCGACGAGGAGAGAAGATTTGAAATAAAATCCATACACACAAACCACATCACACGAATCGAATTGTGCACAGGCCGGCCATTCATCAATAATAAACATACCAATATATACAATATATCGTTATCATTTGTCGATGTAACTTATCCATGACTAGTTGAACGGCAAAAGCAATATATTTAGCGCATAGAAGATCACAAATATCCACCAATCAACCAATATCAACCAAGAACAACCACCCCACATATTCTATATTGTATACTTTTCTGATTTTGAGTCAAACCGCTCTCTGCTCCCCTTTCTATACTGTCTATATTAGTGTGGCATATCTTACTACTATATATGATTTCATTTCGATTTATGCTCCCCATTTGCATTTCATATCATTTATCATTTACCATTTACCATCTTGATTTTGTCGCAACATCATGGGAACATTAGCCATTGCATATTTGCTTGAGTTGCATCCATATTGGTAACGGTCTCGGTCTCGGTGTGGCTCTCTCATTTAATTATATATAATATATATAGTGTATAAGGCTGGTCCAAGGATACAACTAATAATACCCCTTGTTAGGCTTGGAGGTTGATCAAGGACTTGGTAATAGGAGACCGGACCATCTTCCCTAAGCTTTTTCTAGTGCATCAACTCAAATTAAAATCAGATATATATCTATATATAGAGATCTTAGCAGTTATCTTTAATTTGATTTCGTTACGACAACAAAACAAAACAAAACAAACAAACAACAGATCGAACCGCAATAAACCAAATACGAATCTTAAATAGCTAGCAACGAACGATACCCAAAATATATATGTATACTATTTACCAATTTTCAATATATATATATTTCTGTTTCTTTTCAATATATTCTTATACATTTTTCTGTTCTTTTTTTACATATAAATTTTTGTTGAAACGAAAATATTAGCAGGATTTACATGTCGATGTAAGTCAAGTTTATTATAGTTTACAAAAAAACCAAAAACCAAACCTACCTCTAAGAAATCTAATCACCAAAGCAAAATCCAACCATTCGGCAAAGGTTAAATAATAAAAATTAATACATAATCCAAACACAACACGAACAAAACGAAATTCAAATATTTTGAAAATCCTTTCAGTAATTCCTAGCACTTGGGATTAACCCAATTAGCTGTTAACTGTTTCACAATTTCCACTAGTGTTGTGTTTTTCGCCTTTGAATTGCAATAAATAATATGTTTTCCCGACTTTTTAGTGGCCCCGCCGCCCAACTATCTCTTGTTGCTACCAATCTACAATACTCACATAAATACACAAAATAACTATACAAAAAAATATATAAATAGAAATCACACTTAAATCTTACATTTTAAATTGTAAATCTTTAATCGGATCAATCTGAGGCGTGATATAAAACCGGACAAATTTCCATGAATATAATTTTTGTTATTCAACTTTAAATATCCTTTGTTACACCGATTTTACACATCCTGTGTTGTTTTTTGTACACCTACATATATGTATATATATATACCCCTAATTGAGTTGTGCGTTGTTATTATTATTGATTAATTGTTTGTTTATAACCTGTTTAATTGATTTAAATTGCATGCCTCCTTACTTTGCCTTTGCCTTTGCCTCTGTCTCTGCCTTGTCCCTTAGTTTATTTCGCACGATCTGTCTTTTTGTGATGATAATACCAATAATCCACCATCATAGCTAGGAACTCTGTAATGCCCTTGAATGTTGCCTGGCTTGATAGATAGAGCTTAGTCCTTGTGTACTGTGATTGCTGTTCTTGTCCCCTTATGTGAATGAACCGTGTACCCTTTAGACTAACCGACGCCCATCCCATCCCTTTTGGGTTATCTAGACTCCAATTAAACACTAATCCAAGTTTAATCACAACAACTTTACAGGATCTGATGGTCGGCGATGAGGCGTCACAGTTGCGATCGCTGCTGGAGGTCTCCTATCCGATGGAGAATGGTGTGGTTCGCAATTGGGATGACATGTGCCACGTGTGGGACTATACATTTGGGCCAAAGAAAATGGATATCGATCCTACGAACACAAAGATTCTGCTGACAGAGCCACCAATGAATCCCACAAAGAATCGCGAGAAAATGATAGAGGTGAGTGTTAAGTTTACCTGACATACCAAGGAGCTCAGTCACTAACTTTTTACCATAATAATTCCAGGTGATGTTTGAGAAGTATGGCTTTGACTCCACGTACATTGCCATCCAGGCTGTGCTGACGCTATACGCCCAGGGTCTGATCTCGGGCGTGGTGGTTGACTCCGGTGATGGCGTAACGCATATATGTCCCGTCTACGAAGAGTTTGCCCTGCCCCATCTGACGAGGCGACTGGACATTGCCGGCCGCGATATCACCCGCTACTTGATTAAGGTTAGTTTGGTATATAACTTTTAGATGAGACTTAATATCCTGAATTATCCCAAAACAGTTATTGTTACTCCGTGGCTATGCTTTCAATCATTCCGCTGACTTTGAAACTGTGCGCATCATGAAGGAGAAGCTCTGCTACATTGGCTACGACATTGAAATGGAGCAGCGTTTGGCCCTGGAGACGACGGTGCTTGTCGAGTCGTACACACTGCCCGATGGTCGTGTAATCAAGGTTGGTGGCGAACGATTCGAGGCGCCAGAGGCACTGTTTCAGCCGCACTTAATTAACGTCGAGGGACCAGGCATTGCGGAACTCGTCTTCAATACCATTCAGGCAGCGGATATTGATATCCGGCCGGAGCTTTACAAGCACATTGTTCTGTCCGGTGGCTCCACCATGTATCCGGGTCTGCCCAGTCGGCTGGAGCGAGAGATCAAGCAGCTATATTTGGAGAGGGTACTCAAGAATGATACGGAAAAGCTGGCGGTATGTTGATTATATTTAATATATTTTTATACCCTTGCAGGGTATTATAATTTCAGTCAGAAGTTTGCAACGCAGTGAAGGAGGCACTTACGACTATATAAAGTATATAGATCAACAGCCCAGTCGATCTAGCCATGTCCGTCTGTCCGTTTCTACGCAAACTAGTCTCTCAGTTTTGAAGCTATCTGAATGAAACTTTGTAGTTAATCTTCTATATACTCTCACTCGTATATATGTCGGAACGGGCCGTATAGGACGACTATATTATATAGCTGCCATAGGAATGATCGGAAAATGTTTACAAAAAACATTATTACATTTTCAGTTTTCAACAGAATTTAATCAAATTTGATATATAGCCAATTCATATTATTCTACAATTTTTTGTAACATTTTATGAAAATCGGACTACTATATCCCATAGGAACGATCGAGAAATTAATTCAATTAAAAATTATAACATTTTCAATTTTCAAAAGATTTTCATCAAATTTGAGATATAACCATTTCATATTATTCTACATATTTCTGTAAAATTTTATGAAAATCTGATAACTATATCATATAGCTCCCATAGGAACGATCAAGAAATTAATTCAATTACAAATTATAAAGTTTTCAGTTTTCAGCAGATTTTCATCAAATTTGAGATATAGCCATTTTGTCTGTGAATATAAAACTGCAAACATAATATGTATAGAGGAATAAAATAAAAGCAGGTATTACTTCATTGTTTTTTAACTCAAATATATAAATTTATATTGTATGGATTCCTAGTCATAGAAGTTCTATATGCAAGGGTATATAAACTTCGGCGTGCCGAAGTTAGCTTCCATGTTAATGTTAATTTTATAATATTGATAATAATGACAGAAATTTAAAATACGCATCGAGGATCCGCCACGACGCAAGGATATGGTCTTCATAGGCGGCGCCGTTCTGGCCGAGGTGACAAAGGATCGTGACGGCTTTTGGATGTCCAAACAGGAGTACCAGGAACAGGGCCTCAAAGTATTGCAAAAACTCCACAAGATAAGTCACTAAGAGTCAACCGGATAGAGAGCGAGCAGAGTGTGAGCGAGAGGATGAGATGAGATCAATTGTAGCAATTTGTGTCGGCTAGTTTCTATAAGTTACAAATCCTTCAGTTTAGCGTGAGATGTATTTGTCCATTTGTGTGTGTTTTTTGTGTGCCTGTGGAGCAGGACTGTGTGTGGTCCGCTTGTCTTCCGATATACGATATCCGATTCCGAGTCCGTACAGCTCATGCTCAGCCCCTCCTTGGTACCATTGAATTGTAATATTTCTTTATAGCAGCCGCGACCCGAAAATTGTGTAAACCTTGAATTATACATATATTTAATTGCTTATTATTATTACGTCTAAAACGTCCCCAAAAAGTCAAAACCTGCCCCCCCTTTAAATTGTTTTTTGCTACCGATATATATATATCTATTTTTGTAAACAAAAGCAACTGTTTCATTTTGTGCGAGTATTTCCCAATTAAAAGTATTGTATTAACTAGGCCAAGTCTGCTAGCAGCAGCGATTATAAATCGCTTTTAAATCTGAGAAGGAGCGAGAGATGTGGAGCGAGAGAAATAGAGCGATAAAGTTGCACAGCACAGAGCGAGAGATAAATAGAGAGAGAGAGAGAAGAATTAATTAATAGATTTAACTGACTTTTCCCGCATTTAGGGTTATCTCCAACTAGAAAAAGATAAACCGAGTCATGCATTTAGGTTGCTTCCCAAAAGAATAATAAACCAAATAATACGAGTTTAATTGATTCATTTCCCCCATGCCTGCCTTTTCTAGTTAGTTGCAATTTTGATGATGAGATGATTGTTGTTTTTTTTTTTGGGGCAAAACGGAAGCAGCACATGCGAAACTATCAATATATATGATCACTATATATACTTATATAGAGATATTTCTATGTATTACGAGTGTGGTATGCCAATTATATATAAAAGTGAATGCATTCAACATTTATTATGTATGATGTATACTAAAGTAGTCTAAAGCTAAACGTGTATGACTTGGTTTTTTTACCAATTAAAAACAGAACAACAAGAATCACAAATAATAAAAACAAAAACAAATCCAAATAAAAAAACAATAATGCAATCTAAACAGTTTTATGACTGGGCTTCTTGGGCTCAAAATAATAACAATGGAAATGCTCTCATTCGGCTCTGCTGATTAGAGAACTTTTCGATTCTCAAAATAAATTGTTGAATGCCGATTTCAGGCAGTTGAGTTCAAGTGCAATATATATATATATTTATTGAATGCAACAAACAACAAACAAAGCTGAAAGATTGAAAGATTCGACAAAGTTGAAAAAACCCTTGAGTCATGAGGGAAGGGATTACGCACATGAAAGTGTTGCCGAGAGTCTTGAGTATAATCCAAGGTCGTACAGGATATCTAAATTATTATTTTATTTATTTCAATGTATTTTAATTTATTTAAAGTTTTTATGATCTCTTTGATGAAGTTTTTGGAGTTGTAAAGCCAGCAGTTCTTAAGAATATCCTACACATACTTGAATATATATTCGTTTCAAATGGTTATTGCTTTTATTTTCAATATTTTCCTCATTGTTTAAAGAGGCAGGTTTAATTTTTAATTACTCACCCATTGAAGCTTTATCAAATGAATCAGTGAATATCTGCACAAAGACTCAATTACATTCACAAATTCCATCTAATTTACGACCCACTCCCAAGTGCTCTTCCTCCACTTCGCCACCTGAGGCCGCCGTCTGATAAGAGGAATCCAAACCGGACCGTCTGCTCGATGGCTAGATAAGGCCTTTGTGTGTTGTTTTCCTCCTGGGTGTTATTGGAGTGCCCCAGGCCCAGTTTTAGTTAAAGAAACGACGCTACAACGCCAACATGGGCCACACAAAACAGTACTCGGGACTGCAGCTACTCTTGATCCTGGGATCAGGAGTTCTCGCTGGAGTTAGGGGGATTACGGTGACTTGGCTGGCAAATGGCTGGTGTACTACGGAGATCTAACAGAGCTACGATTGTCGGAGGGCGAGAGTCATCAGCTAACATTGGAGATAACCAATGTAAACCCCGTGGACACAGCTGCTGACTATAGTTTCTATATATACTCGCAGGACGAGGCGAAAGCTTCATCTTTGCTCACCGTAAAAAAAGAAGAGTTCGACTTCTCCGGCACCTGGCGGGGTCCAGTGGAGGTGAAAGGTGTACGTTTCGGTTACAGCGATCTGCTGGTGGATCTGCAATTGGCATCTGGCGAAAAGGAGTCCTATCCGAGTCCCCTGCCCCTGGCGATCCTGAGATCTCGTGTGGTGGACGAACGCGTCACCACATATGTGTCGGCAGCTTTGGCTCTGCTTATGTTCCTCAACCTGGGCACTGTGCTGGATCTACATCGGCTGGCCGGGATTGTGTGTCGTCCTGTGGGACCTGTAGTCGGTGTGGTCAGCCGGTTTGCCATAATGCCTGCTCTGGGATTCGGATTGGGTTGTGCTCTGTGGCCTGGCAGGTGGCCCCTGCAGCTGGCGCTCTTCTACGCAGCACTGGCACCGAGCGGCGGTCTGGCCAACATTTGTACGGTGTTTCTTAAGGGTAATGTGAACCTATCGGTGGCCACCACCACAATCAACAGTCTGCTGGCATTGGCCTTTCTGCCCCTCTGGATCCTGGTGCTTGGCAGGCTGCTCTACGAGGATGATGAGCTGGCGGTGCCTTTTGGACAGCTATCCGGCGGAGCGGCTGCTTTGGTGGCCTGCCTAGCCATTGGCATAATGCTCCGACTGTGCGTACCCAAGACAACACGTCTCATTTTCCGCTTCCTGAAGCCACTGTCGGTGGTGCTCTCTCTGTGTCTGGTGGGTCTGACGGTGGGCCTGAATTGGTTCGTCTTTCTGGAGTTTACCTGGCAGGTAAGTCAGCAGAATAATCATTTAAAAAACATATAAACATTATTCCTAACCGTCTAGGTTCTGGTGGCTGCTTTGAGCCTGCCTTTGGCTGGCTACCTGGCCACATATCTCCTGTCTAAATTCTCTGCCGCACAGGCACCGACGCCCTTACCCTGGCCATCGAGACTAGTGTCCTTAATATGACCATGCCCATTGTCCTGCTGCAGTCCAGTCAGCTGGAGCAGCCACAGCTGGATCTTGTGCTTGTGGTTCCTATTGCGTCTTCGTTGTTCTCCCTTCTTCTGGTCATTGTGTTCTATGGGGTGCGTCGTTGTCTGGGCTGGAATAAGCGATTGGATGAGGAGGGCTTTGATCACAAGCAACTGATTGCGGATCAGGAGAGCGAGGGTACGACTGCCTACCATCAGCAGCCCTAAAGCAGCCTTAGTTTTAGAATGTAGAAAACTATTTAATTTAGTTTAGCAAATGTAATCTAGTTTTTTAGTACGAATATTTTGTATAATTCTTCTTGTTTGCTTTATATCCTGTGCGTTCATGCTGACTTCCGCTTTGCCAAATTGGGCATCACTTTTGTCGTAGCTGGGCATCATTGGTCCTTGAGAGAGCCCGGAAAATTCAAAAACCTCCATTTCTAATGCTTTTTTAATGTGCTTGCGCGAGTATGCTTGTTGTGTGTGTGTCTGTGTATGAAAGGGGGAGAGGTTGTATAGAGGCAGGGGTATTGTGTGTGTTTGCATGCAAATTTGGGTTTTCAGCAAGCGAAAGAAAGGCTGTGAAAAAATTGTATGTCAACGTCGGCGCTGTGATGGCTGGCCATTGCGTATGTGCTGGCAGCAATTTGGAGCATTGGCCGGCAAACTCTCGCCACATACACACAAGTTGGCGCATGATGTCATCAGTTTAGTGCGATGCAGGCTGCCAATTACGACACACACGCACATCGTGCACAGTATGTAGTGTGTGTGCACGTGCTTTCAAGCTAAAAGGGCGCACATCCTTTTCTTTTGCGAGGGAGGCCTTTAATTACTTTTAAATTATTTAATATTCCAATTTTTAAAAAAATTCAAAAGTTTTTATTTCTGATTTTAAAATCTAATGTTTAAAACTCTTTTAGTAGTTTTTTCTTCAAGACTTTAAAAACTTGTAAAGGTGTAATCAACCTTGTCCACATAAAGTTCAGCTTGCACTTAAAGTTATTTTTAGGCTCTAAAAGAACCCCTTTAAGAAGCCTACTTGCCGCCACTGACTTTTGTAAGGAAGAAGATATATATAAATAAGTGCTACCTGTGTGTGTGTGTGTTTGCGTGGTCAACTAACGGTTCTCGCTTGGAACGCATTACCGTTACCATCCGCACATCGCTGGGAACCCCGCTTGCCTGAAAAACACTGAAACACCGAAGCCTGGAATCTCCCGGAATGCCCCCCAAAAACCCCCCTGACGACCTCGTTAGCGCCCAGCCCCTGCTTGCCTTTCTCCCTAACACTTTGTGAGTGTGTGTGTGTTTCGGTTATAAATATACACTTTTCAAAGGTGGCAAATGACATAACGTGAACGAACCCACCTATCCCCCACTTGTGCCGGCAGTTTAGTAATTTAACGACAAGTTAACTATCCATATTTGTGATTAATATTTCATTGAAACATATTAGCAAAATATAAACATTAAGGATGAAGAATGGGTTTCTTCTTTCTCCAAGGAAATAGGTTTTATTTTATCTTTAATTCATTTATTGCTTATATTATCCGGATATCCAGTTGTATAGTTGTAATTAATTGTACTAATCCAACTGCATTTGGTTGCTCTTTTTAATAATTGATTTATTTACAATTACAATTACTTTTTATTTTTTTAATGCTGCCATGCCATGTAATTTGGCACACTTAAAGCCTTTTTACAGTTAACATGAGCTCCGTTTCGGCCATATCTGGGATTAGTATGTCATTTTGCGTGATACCATTAAATTAGAGGGCTTATTTGCTTGATTATTACACCATATATATATGTACATGTACATATTTCTGAAAAGAAAATAATGGGGTTGCGGGTGTTTCTCTTAGGATTTTTAAAGCCCTTTACTTTGTAGGTTTGTGCTGCAATTATTTTTGTATAGATACTCATACTGTAATTACAAATAAATAAATAAAATAAATGAATGTTTATATGAAGCAAATACCTTTAATCTAATCTAGTGCATTTCTAATCTAGTGCATTTAAGTTATTGCCATTATATAATGTTAACTTGGGCACAACTGCTATGAAAGTAAATTTATATTAACTGTTTAATATCTTTACAATGTAAATTGTATTTAGTAAGTAATTATATATTGTTAAAACATAAATTATGGATATGTCATGAAAAAAGAACTTATACTGGATGCCTTAAATGTCTTGAAGAGACCTGAAATATTTGCCTGCCTTAAATCTATATTTAATAATATTTTTAAATAATAATATTTTGTTGAAAATGTTATTAAGTTGTCGATTTAAAAATTGATTATTCGATAGTGCCGATCCTCGATGTTTTTCCAGCACTAGTTAACCCTCTCAATGTGTTAATTTTATTCAAAAACAGTTTCGTTTCCAATGCCTGCCAGCTGTTTGGCCATCGATTGAATTTGTTCGTTCCTTGTTGGCTGACTCTGATTACACCCTCCGAGTGTCAGACCCACTCCTGCCCACACCCACTTGGAGCAACTCATCATAAACTTTGAAGATTTCATTAGCCTCAAATGGGACATATCGCTTGGGTTGGTTTTAGGAAGCTAGATCAATCCCCCTGGCCCAGTTGGTAGTCGCCTATCGACAGTTTGCAGTCGTCTCAAGTTAGTAGTTTTCCATACCCATATGCTATAGCCCTGGCTATATACCCATTCCCGATCCATGGCCATCCCGTGCAGCATAATATGCGATTCCAATGACCGTTCTCTGGCCTGCTGCTGCGCATTGCAGTTAACCCCGAAAGGAACAATGCAGCAGGCATACACTGTCCAGGAAATATTGGTTTCTTGAATCACGTAACTAAATATTCTTTATTTCTAAAAAATAATAATTAAAATAATAAGTTCAATTCCCAACTATAACTACTGATCTGGATATGTCTGAAACAAGTCTTAAAGTCTGTTTTTTGATTTGGTTTCTTGTTATTAAATTACTTTAATATCTATGATTTTATAGCTATATATTATCTGTGATTAAAATTTCTTTCAGTGCACCTATCGTGCTCCATTTTTGGGCCGTGCCAAGACAACTTTGAAACGGAGTTGCAGCAGTTTTTTTCCGATGAGGCAATTTCATTTCCAGCTGGGTTTTTTCCCCCCTTCTTGTTTTTTTTTTGGCTCATTGGCAGTGCAACTGCACCAGGCCCCAGACTGATGGCAAAGGGGGGTTAAGAGAGCTTTAAGTGGCGGGTGATGGGGCCATAGGGGGTTAAGCACCAATGCCGTGCGAAGAGTGGCAGGCAAAGCAAAGCATTTTGGTTTCGTTTCGTGGCATTTGGATGATTTCTGCCTATTTCCTGGCTAAAAACACAAACACACGCCCCACCCTTAACCCTCTCGGCGCCTACCTTCTCCTTCTCCTCCCTCTCCCCTCTTAACCTGCTTTAATCGCGTGCTCGGCGCACATTTTAACGCTCGTCGTTGACGTTTTCAGTTGACGGTTGCCACAGCAACAAACCAACTGCAAATGCAATGCAAAAGAGCAGTGGGTTAAGGTAGGGGGTTAAGGTTGGGATGGGGTGGGGTAACCAGGTGACAGGAAGAAGGCGGCCTAACCAAGGCAAGTGTGTGTGTGTGTGCTCTCACTCTCTCTCTCTCTCTTTCTCTTCATTTCCTGTCTCCATTTCGAGGCGCTGAAAAATCTGCCAGGAAATTCACTTGCCAGCTACCAACTCTGGAAAAAAAACATGAGCAACGCAAGAAAAAGAAGGGAAATTCAAGTCAATTATATACCCAGCACGTGTCCTTAAATATTATGCGTAATTATGGCGCTGGCAATGGCATAATTAGCCCTGTTACCCATGACTTTCGTCGATGTTTTCTAAGACCCCCAAAGATACCCTTTCCGACATTAAAAGAATATTTCTCTTTAGCTTGCTTTACTGAGCTAAGATCCTTGATTAGTCTCTGTAACTAAGGGTAAGACATTATCGAAATCCTAAAGCCTCTTGTGAGCCAAAATATATGCTACTTTTGATCCTGCGACTCGGACTTCAAGTCAGTCTCCTCCTTCTGCTGCTGCCACTCAACGCACAGTGTGAATTATGTAAGGTTATGCTAATGTCTAAAGGGAGGGGGACTGGGTTAGCGGGGTTGCCCCAGGTGTGCTGCACTTGTTTGCTCTGACATTTATAGGAGGTAGGGGTATCACCAGTCCACCGCCCACCTTCAACCTCCAGGATAACACCTGGGTGTGTGGCCTGGCATGAAAATGGAAAGTGCAAGTGGAAAATGTTTGCCATAACCGAGAGCGATTAAATCAAATATTCAATTTCCTTTTTAGCCCAGCCGGAGATATTTGAGAGATCGACTCAGCAGGAAGCAGGAGCAGCAGGACGTGTATGTCCAGTGCATGTCCATTTGCAGGATAACAGGTCAGTTTTGGGTTTACTTAACATACCTTCAGGTATTTAAACTTTAAATTGTCGCAATCTTAATATTTATATATCTATAAATTTATTAATACATATATATTTAATATTTACTATATATATATAATATAATAGCAACCTCCAGAAATTATTGCTTAAAATGCACTTTTGTGTATAAGGTAGTCAACTGTGGAGCTCTTTTTTGTATATAAATTAAAATGGAAATGCAAATGGAAATTGTGGTAGATAAAAGAGTGTATTGAAGGGTATCTGTACACATAACACACGTATGTGTGTGAGAGAGTGTGGGTGTGTGTATGTGTTTGGGTGTGTATATGAATTTACGTAGAAGGAAACAGGAAATTTAGTCGCAGTTGATAAGGTGATGGACGACAGATATCGCTGCAGTGGCCCCTACCTTTTTACCCCCCGTTTCATTATATAAAAATATATGTATATATATATTTAGATATATATATTATATATATATATATATTATCTTATACGTGGTTTTGAGGTGGGGTTCCTGCGGGAGAGCCAGGGAGTTACTGGGATGCCTTGAGATGGGTTGGGTAAGGTAACATAAACGTTGCCGCTGTCAAAATGTCGTCATTGTTCATTCATGAAATGTGCGCCTTTTTACATTTTACCCCACTAAGGAACAACAAAAACAACAACAAAAGCAATACAAGAAGAAGAAACAACAACAACAGCAAACGTAAAACAAAAAATAAAACTAAAAAAGCAATAGCCATTGCACTTCAAACAAAAACTTAGTCAAAATTCCAAAGCATTTTTAATTCAATAAATTACATAAATATATATAATTTATATTTTATTATTATTAATGATCGAATTGCAATTTGCAATAGTAAACAAAATTTGGCGGGCGGAAATTAGTTTCGGTTTATAAAAATTATAATATAATGTTAATATTATAATATTAATTAATATTAATATTATATA